AATCCTCCCTGGCCCTCTCTCCTAGCCACAATTCTCAGACTCTTCCTGCCCGTCTGCCCCCACTGCAGCTCCTGCTGAGATGGTGGGCACTGCTGCTTTCCCACCTGCGGGATGCCCGCTTCCCAGGCTCAGGGCAAGACCCCTCCCCTGCCAGCGCTTTCTTCTTTCCCTATGCACACTGCCCTTTTCTGTGCAGGGCCCCCCTAAGAAGGGAACTCCCCCTGGCAGCAGTGGATTCCTCCATTCTCAGGACCTGAGAGCACTTTCTCAGGCCCTCTCATTGTTTATGGCATCTTGCCTTTGCATGTACACAATACTTCCATAGGGGCCCACCCTGCTCTCTTAGGAGGCTTTTATCTGATTGACAAATAACAACTAAAAACACTGTCCCAGAAGGACAGTACACCTGGACCTCGGGCTTGGCTTTGCCATTGAGTGGCCATCTTGATATAGGGGAATGAAACTCGCGACCTGCTATGTCCCGTATGAGTTCATACTCTCTAAAATTGAAGAATGAATTTTAGGAGCAATAGAGGTTAAGAGTAGAATATATTTGTTGAGAGAAAGAAAGCTGCTATCTGAGAGACAGAGGGGGCCCAAGTGGGTTGCTAAGGACTCTGTCTTTTCTAGGGACTAAATTTTATAGAGTAAAACATGGAGTGAGATGGGTTCAAGGTGGGGAAAATTGGGAACTCACAAGACAGATGGGCATAAGGTGGGACAGAGCTATGGTTGGCCAATAAGATTAATAAATCAGACAAAACTGATTAAATTGGGGGCAAATGGGGAAGTGAGTCACATAGAAAGTGGGCATTCTTCAGAGCAGGGACTCTTCCCTAGGGGTTGGAATGGTGACTTCTGGCTTCCTCAGGGTAATAGCGAGCTAGTCCTTAGGATATGGATGCATTTGCTTGATCTTATGTCTTGAGGCCTGGCCCATAACGGGAGGTGCCTGTCTCCCCCATAGTTGCAAGGTACCTGAGCTTCTGCACTGGCTCCTTGGGGAACCCAGCCCTATCTCACTCCCTTAGTATTTCTAACTGATTCAGCTACCTGCAACAATCTTCTGTTGTCTCAGTTTCTCTATTTAAGGAAGAAAAGGTACAGATATGACAACCTTGCATGCCTATTCCACCTCTGACCTGTTATAACTATCTGATTCTAATTATTGAATCAAACCTGGCAATCAAGACATCTGGGTTTTTTCTTCTCAGGTCTGTTAGTCCTAAGCTATGTGGCCTTGAAAACATCACATTGCCTTTCTGGGCACAGAAACAATGTTACCTGATGTTCATTCATTATTCATTTTCTATTCAGAGCAGCAAATAAAATAGAAAAGATGAAAATGCTCCATGGAAAAAAGAAAAAAAAATGTTATTACTTTTTTTATGACCAAATGACTTGGGCTAGGAATGGAGCATGTGCTTTTAGCATCTCTTATCCAAAATTGGTTGCAGTCTTAGACCTGGCAACTGTGCTATTTTACTTATTTGGCTTTGAAGAGTTCCTGACACACAGCACACACATAGAGAAACACCCGTATCGGGTGTGCCACCTCACACACACTTGCTTTTCTAAACCCGAGTGCTTGTCCCATGTCTGGTAGCTCTAATTTCCTCCTAGCTGTGCTCTTTAGCTGAAATTCAAAGCTACCTGGGAAAGTAGCAAGATGGGGCCAATAGCTGTTGGTCCAGTGCCAGGAGTCCTTGGATGGACTTCTAGTGAGGGTGAGCTCCCGGAGCTGGGAGCACTTGCCTAGAAACAGAATCCCTAGGGCTGCCATTGAATCATATGTGTATCATCATCCACCCAGTAAAATTCTGGGAAACACAAGGAATGCGAAGCTAGTCTCTCTGGATCTAATCCTTTGGAGACCCCTTACATGACTCTGATCTTCACTCACACACTAAGGTTAGCAACATGTTCGTGTCCCTTGACCCCCAGCATGATTGGAAGTCTTGGTAACATGCAAAGATCCAAATAAACCTTAAAAGCATCTGCTAAATGAAGAGGCAGGGCAGCGGAGATTTCTCTAATGAAGCAAAATCTATGAACTAGGGGATATGCAGCAAAAATATCAGTCTGTAAACACTGGGGAGCCCAGGAGGGCATCATTTTTGGGTCTCAAGAGTCCTGCTTTCCTCACTTTCCACAGGATCTATCTTAATGTTCTAAATATATTAATTCACCTCATGTGCCCATCAGTCCTGTGGCAAAATTCCTTTATTTTTGCTTCTTTGCTTATGAGAAAATCTACAGAAAGAGTATATTGTTTCATAGGGCTGCTATAACCAATTACTACAACTAAGTGATTTAAAAGACCAGAAATTTATTCTCAAACAGTTCTGGAGCCTAGAACCCTGAAATTAAAGTATCCATAGGACCATGCTTCCTCTGAATTTCTAGAGGAGACTCCCTCTTCTGGCTCTCTAGCAGTTTTAAGTAGTCCTTGGTGTTTCTTGATCTATGGCACCAAAACTCCAATCTCCACCTCTGTCTTTGAATGGCTTCCTGTCTGGGTGTCTTTGTGTCTAAATTTCCGGCTTCTTATAGGGATATTAGTCATCAGATTAGGGCTCAAGCTAACTCAGCATAGTATCATCTTAGCTTGACTTCCACATAAGGCCAGATTCAGAGGCACCAAGCACTGGGACTTGAATATATGCTTTGGGGAACAAAGTTCACTCCACAAAACAGAGAATTTAAGTTGTTTCCTCAACTTCTAATAGAGAATATCAGCTGCAACCAATGTAAAAATGAAGTGCCGCACGATCCAGCCTCCGTAAGGGGTTGCATCATAAGAACAGAAAACTTACCAAATTGAAACCAGTTCACAGTTTCACTCATTTTCTTGAAAACAAAATTGTACATAAGTTTTCAAATGTTCAGTACTATCCTTCTCCTACCACTCACCCTAAGGGTTCTCCTTCAGTCTTCTTGAACTCTAGACTAAGAAGCCCTCCTAGGTCTTTCTTCATCCATCCCCTTACACACATGAACACGCTCATCTATCCAGTGGTTGGTGCTGAATGTCAGTTCATTCATCCAGAGATCTCAATGGATGGCTCCTTTGTGCCCTATGTGGTCTTAAATTCTCCAGAAACTCTTGCCTAACGTGAGGCCTTCCTGTCTGCACACTGCCTTGTGTCTTATTCTGTGTTTCTTGACTGCATGATCAAAACTTTCTTTTTTTTTACTTTGGCTACAAGGCAAAGATCTTCACCTCTTTTTCAACTCTGTGAGGACCCAAAGCTAGAAAAGAATGAAATTTTTTGGTGATAGGGTGACAAACAGTCCCAATCCCAGGTCCTGTGAGCAAGGTAAGACAGAGGTGATGGCAAGAAGGACTGTGAGCTGCCAGTTGGCTCAGTGGCCCCTTCTTGTGTTCCCTTTGTTGACTAGAAATGATTAATTTTATACCACTAACCAGATGATAAAGGGAAGCAGTTTTAGTGCTAACTTTCCTTTTAAATAGAAAACCTAATAAAGGTTTCTAATAAATACAACTCATAGTTCCCCAAGTCATTGTTAGTGGTCTGAACTAATTCTTTTCACTCTGCATGTTTAGTGCAGGCTTCCAGCATACATGTAATTATACCACATATAAAGGTCTCCTGTTTTCTCACTTACTTAGAGTCACCTCCTAAGAATAGGCTCGATTCACTGTAAATTCTCCCTTAATGTGTTAATTAATGGCTGCCTGACATTTACAATTAATGCTAATTTAACTATTACTCTAGAATTGGATATTTACACTGTTTCTGTTTTTCTAATTACTACACAGGGCTGGCTGAAAAGTATGGTATATGTTAAAATTTTAAGAACTCCTTGTAGTAAGAGACATGTTGCCATTAGTTCCCCTCGGAATACTCAGCCTCTCTTAGCACACACTTATCTCACTGTTCATGCTTTCTGAGGCAGTTCTAGAAGGTAAACATTTTGAACCAACTCAGGACATCAAGGCAGCCATGAAAGCACAACTAAAGACACTCATGTATGACTGCCATAAATATGCTTGTTCATTAAAGCTTTTTTCATATTTGGATTATTTTCTTCTAGATTACATTTGCAGGAAAGAAACCAAGGGATAAATTTCTAAGCCAAACATAATCAAAACTACCTTGTACATCTTAGAAGATCTGGAGTATTTTGTCTGCCTAGGTGATGGTGAAAAGGAAGTATGAATTTTGGGTAAAGCTGTAGAAAAAGATAAAGACTATGTGATTTTTCAAGGCCCCAGGAACTCATTGTGATATGGAAATTTCCATTCATAAATGTCATTCTTATTCATTGCCCCAAATCATTTCTTTATCCTCAACTGAATTTATCTATTACTGTGTAAGAAACTACTAGAGCTCATAATGGTTAAAACATCTGCTTTGTTGCACATAACTGTGCTTAGGATTTTGTGTGTTGCTCAGCGGGATGCCCTTCTGCTGGACTTCTTGTGCTTACTCATGTGGCCACAATTCTTCAAAGGCTGACTGAATTGTGAAGGCCCATGATGGCCTCAGTCATTCGTCTGGTAATTGGTGGTGAATGTCAATTTGCTCATCCAGAGATCTCAATAGATGGTTCATCTGTACTCTGTGTGGTCTTAGAGTCCCCAGTAGACCTCCCAGGGCTTCTATGCACAATGGCCTCCAGGCCAATATACCACATGAACAAGAGTGTTAGAGACAAATTTATTTGGTGATGCTTGTTGAAGAATAATAAGGCAAACTTTATTCAGGACCAGCATGATAGTATGGGAGGCATGGCAATGAGATCTTGCAGTAGGAAGAGAGCTTGTACTCAATTCCAAACATAACATAGGAAAGAGAGAACACATGACCAAGGAACTGGAAGTCAGCGGATGGAAAAGTACTAGGAAAAAGCATCAAGGTTAAGGGGGATGTGGGATAAAAGGACCTAGTAAGATTCTTGCTGAAGATAGGAAGGATGAGAAACCCAATCATATATCAAGGGTGATCATATCACAGGTGGGGACTGGTTCTTACCAAACTGATCTTGCTGTAGTCTTTGCTGACACTGGAGTTTACACAGAAGTACACAGGTGGCCTGGAAGAAAGTTCAGAAGTTTGACAGAATTTGGACAAATAAAGAATCTTTTTTTTCAATAACTACAAGGCTCTTTGAGACCTCAGTTGGCAAATTACATACCACTTATAACACATATAGGCTTTTTGTTCAAAGCAAGTCGCCTATCAGGTCAATCCGCACGTAGCAAAGTCACATTGCAAAAGGATCTCTGTTTTGGAATGGGAAGTATTATTATGCTTATTTTTTGAAAACAATATGCCACATCTTTTGGACAAAATAACTTCTGTCTTTTCCATACTCCACGTACTTCCACTCTTCTACAAAAATTTCATTGCATGAGCCTGTCAGGCTGGAAGTCCAGAACTTCATGATCCAAATTAGGTCTACACCTAATTTTGTAGCTGTTGTACCAAGGATTTGGCTACTTAGGCACAGCAACTTTTATTCCAGAGACCTCTGAACCCAAGAATACAGTTATTTTCCTCCCATATACTCAATAACTTTGTGTTTCAATGAGATACGAATAAGATAACCACAATAGCGCTCCCATTGACAAGTGGGGAGGACAGAAGGGGTATAACAATTACAGGCCCATAGTATTTCTGAAATTCAGCCAGGTCCTGTTGTCTTGTCCACTAAGTAGTAATGTTCCTTAATCAGAGCCCAGTTCTGCGGCTTGGGAGTGGTTCCCAACCCATTGCCCTTTATGGCCCTTGACTCTTGCCTTAACTCTGCCTCTGACTTCTTCACTTCTGCTTCTGAGGCACCTCATTCAGAAGAAATGGCTTGTGTGCACAGCTGAGTTCTCCCTGCAGTCTACCTATCTTCTCTATGTAGAAAGCTTGGCCCCGGGGGCCTCTTCTCATTATAGCTCCTTTGAATTCTCCCTTGGGATCTCTACATATAAGAATATAGCTTGCTTCTTTGAAAGAAAGAAAGAAAGAAAGAAAGAAAGAAAGAAAGAAAGAAAGAAAGGAAGAAAGACTCTAGATTTCTTTTCAAAGTAGGATTCTCCACTTTGGAGGGTGTGTTAGGACCCTTTATATTCTTGGATAGTTTTTGGTCTGCTGATAAGGAGTACTAGGCATTGCTGTATATTCTATGAACCAAAAAAAAAAAAAAAGGTTAATATAGTCACTGTTGTAGTCAGGGGTTGTGAGGAGAACAGTTAGAATCAGGACATGGAGTTTATAATACTATTTTTATAATGATCACCCAGAGTTAACACAAGAAAATGCAGGAAATCTTATCCACAACGCAGAATAGTTAGCCAAGGACCTGAATCCCACAGCAATGTCCCACATGAGTCCAGATGAAAACCTAGAGCCCATGACAGTGCCACCGACGAGTCCTCCTCAGGGTCTAGAGCCCACAAGAAGGGCTCACACCAGTCTCTTTTATGGATCTGTACTGGGAAGGTCCAAAGGTCAGTGGTGGAAGCTAGGAAGTCCATGCCAGTGGGGTGAAGGAGCTGTGCTGGTGGGATGAGAGCTCTATGCTGGAGCCAAGAAGTCACACTCACAATAAAGACCAGGGCTGTCCTGAAAAGCATCACAGCCATCCCCAGTGACATGGAGGTCCTAAGTTCCTCCAATGATAAGCATAGTCGAGTACATGCCAGGAAGCCAGCATGACGAGTTCATCCTGGAGATTAGGTGGCACATGTCTTCCCCTCCAGAGCCAGGAAGCAATGCTCAATGTGAGGACTAGAGCTTCTCCAGGAAAACCAGTGGCTCAAAGAGCAACACGTAGGAGAACCTTGAATACCTCAACGCCTCAATGCACCTCATGCCTCTCTTTCTCCACATCTCTATTTATGCTGGCAACTTCCCTCAAGTGGGACATCTACGCTCAGCCATGCTGATGTAATCCAGCTGGCATTAAGTTAACCACCAGTTTTGAATCCATAACAGTCAGATTTTTAAAGTCTTTTGCTAATGAAAAGACTGTTTTTCAGTGCTCTGTCCAGAGGTCTCCTTAGCCAGATCCACAAGTTCATAGTGATCAGTGTTCTACTTTCTAAGTTGCCACACAGTTTCCCAGTTGTTTCACCACTATAGAATACAAGTGTCCTTTTTCAAGACTCCTATTGTCATTTCCTCATCATTTTTCTAGCATCCACTTGTCAGCCAACCCCCAAAACAGGGGTGCACGTAGTAGTTTTTTGTCTGTGCATTATCCTACTCCTGGTACCCCTGACTCTATCAAACAGCAAAGCAGAATCTCTAATACTATTATGAGGTAATGGGTATTTATGAACATTAGGACTCATACAATTATGAAATGAGCTGAAGAGGTAAAAGTTGGGAGTGGGAAGTTAGAGGGCCACAGAAGAGATCGCCAACCCAGAGCCATGGCGTGGGTGCAAATGTTGGCATCTCCAAAGGAGTGTGCCAAGTCTGCTCCTTGGAAGAGGTGATTCAGAGTGGAGGGCTAAAGAAGGGCTGTGACTGTAAAGTTCACGTGAAGAGATTTCCTCTGCGGTTCCACATGAAGGTAGCTGATGACAGGCACCAGCCCTGATTGGTCGCTAGAGCCAATAGAAGAAAAGAAGAGCTGAATACAGAGTCGAGGAAATGGGAACATTAAAACCTATTGGGCAGTTCTACGACTGTCCAAAATAACTATCAGGAGTAATGACTATTTTCTTCCAAACTTGCACAAATTCCTGATGGAGCCCTTCTAATCTGAAACTACAGAGAGAAGGAGAATGGAATAATACAGCACTCACCCTGAATGTGTGCCTAAACTTAGTACAAAATGGTCTTTAGAGACCCAGAGCGGATTTTGGGAAGGCCTCATGGTATACTTTGTGAACATTGATAAGCCAAATCATGAGGTACCAGGACTTGTAGGAGAGCCTTTGTTTGTCTAATATATCAAGAAGTGTGGGCTAGAGAATCAGTAGCACTTAAAAGAGGACTGATCAGGGATCCAGAAGCCCTTGAGCCCTGGCCAGGGAATCTGGATGTTGGCTACAATTGTGGACCTGGCCCCATCACTCACTAAACTCATTCCCCATTCACCGGATCATTCATTGTTCATTGGATTCACACTTAAACAGTCTGTGCTTCAGTTTCCTCATCTATAAAACTCCTGAATTACTTTCTCCATACTTTCCTTGGAGTAGCTGATTGGGCACTGCCAAAGCAGCTATGAACTCTGACATGAGCCCTTTTGAGGCGTGAAGCCACAGCGTCTTGCCATAGAAATGTGGACCACTTCCTGCTTCCCTGCTGCAGGTTTGTGCTTCAGAAAACTCTTAGAAAACAGGGACTCCGACTTTTTCTTCTGAGATGGTTCCCTGTTCCCTATTCTCAACAGAGCTCCTCTCCTCTCCCAAGTGGTACAAGGAAGCTTGGTTGAGACTCCAACGCCCAAGTCTTCACTATCCACTGTGCCAGGCTGTTCCTCCGTACCACCCCACCCTCTGTCTACTCTTTCTACTTGCCTGAATCCTGCTCACAACCATTCCTCAGCCCAAAGGACATTCTCTTCTCCCTAAGCTATTTGTTTACTTGGTTTTTTTCTCTTTTGAGAATCAAACCAAATGAAGGAGGGTTTGCGTGTGCTAAGCAAGTGCTTTACCACTAAGCTACAACCCCACTCCTACATGTTTCTGGTCCTCAGCTGAATGCAATTTTTACCTTCTTGAAATCCCTGAGGCTACCCATCTTTCATTGAAGTTGCCATACTCAAGCAATTCTCTAATGTACACATTTGAGTACTTACCATATGCTACTAAATGTCACATTCCCAAAGGCAGGAGGTGGGCTTTTTAAACTCATGCCACAAAAGAAGCAATTTGGGGCATCTTCCATATTAAAGCCCAGACAGAATTTGGTACATAAATATTTGTTGAACTGAGTTGAAAGAAAACAAATTGAGTACATGTAACCACATGTTGGTGCCCTAAATAACAATAGTCCACAAGGATACTGCTGTCCACAATAAAAGGTAGGAAAATGAAACATCTGTCATCCTCTGCCACATGGAATCTATTGTTATGAATTTTGGGACTTCACTCAATAGGCTCCCTCCTTCATGTTGATATGATGATCCTAGAGATAGGGCAGTCCAAGCAGAAAATAAGATGCAACCCTGTGCCTGTGCTTTGAGAAAAAGGATCTTTGTAGAACATTATAACCACAGCAGAAGATACAACTATTAAGCAGTGCTGGTGACCCCTGTGTTTAGGTTAGGGCTAGAGCTGTCACTGAGCCACATCCTTTCTGGGAAACAATCCATGCACCCAAGATAAGGTTTCAAGAAGTTCATGAGCCAGAAAAATTGTTTAACCAGGCATCTGTGTCTTTTGTCATGTACTCCCTGGGTTGGTGGTTCCTTTCCACAGTCTCAGAACACATCCAAAAGCAAAATTGATATCCAAAAACAGTGTGCTATCTCACGACCATTGAGAAAGTCACTTCCCTTTCTGGACCTTAGTTTCCTGTAGAAGAAGGGAAATTGAACTAACTCATAAAGCACCCTCCCAGCTCTGCTTTTTCAGGATTCTATTTTGGGTTGCAAACTGAATTCCCAGGGCCTTTGGCTACTGTCCTTGCTTCTTCTACTTCTAAAAGTATGTGTGACTCAGTTTTGCTGTGGCTCTCTGCTTGGGCCTGCTTCCCTGTTCTCTGGAAATGTGTGACTTTGCAGGCGATGACTATCTGCAATCCAGAAGTTACAAAGAGGGAAGACATTACCCCAGGTTCTCAGTAGGTATCTCTTTATTCCAAATGATCTCTGATTCATTTCAGTTGAAAATGTCCATGCTCAAACACTACGGAAGCCAAGAGGCCCCAAGGATGCCAAGTTATAGAAAGGAGGTTCTGTGGCTGGAACTGTTAATGCTCAAGCAGTGAATACTCACTGGTAATTGGTTTTGCATTGCATAGATGCAGATCACAAACAAGTTCAGTATCATCAAGCACATCATCATGCAACAGCAATGTGTGTGTTAGCAGTCTTGTCCACCATCTTCTGGGTGGACCACAATGCTGCTTTAGTGTCCGCAATGCTGACTGGGTAGAACACCAGTTTTTCAGATTTACAAGGGAATCTAGATCCCTGCAGGGTCCAAATCCCTTTTACAGATGTATAACTGGATGCTAAAAAGGGGACAACTATAAAGTAGTTTTTGGTAGAATCAGAACCTCTACATAGCAGGTCCATACACCTTAGAGTACTCCCAAAGTAGAGGTTGCTAAGTTAGAGCACTCAGTTCATACAGCTACCTATAAAACAATCCCCCCACATATGTTTAGTCTTCTCTTTCATTAAATTCTGACAAGAGAAGTTTAAGTGTTTTATCACTCAGAACATATTAAAAATAAACCAAAAAGTACACCTACTAGACTGATTAAAAGAAGGAAAAGATTATCACATAAAGGAGACATAAAAATTACAAAGGCATATAGTCTGACAGCATTCCATAGAAAACGAGCAATATCTCACAACTCAATACCCCCAAGAGTCTCCCTTTAATGAGTGTCATAAGAATGCCCATGGATCACCAAGGAAATGTTAGCACATTTCATGTAACTGGGATTTTTATGAAGCACTTTTTACAAAGAAGTGTTGCATCTAGAAGAAAAAAAGAACTTTAAAAGATTATACATAGACTTTCAGATATCCAGAAACTTCAGTTAACCAAAATGACATTGTAGCTGGGTTGTTAAGTGACATTTCCACTGTGTAAAGAAAGGCACTTTCTATACTAAGGAGGCTGCTGTGAATTCCCTGGTATCTGCAAGGAAGAACAAATAGCAAAGCCATGATCTCATTTTCTGTTTACACTTCAATTCCCAATGTTAGTGATTAATTATCCTTGTGTTTTGTTGCCAGGGCAAAATGTTTTTCTTTAAAAAGGCTTCTTATTTTAAATAAATAAACCATTAGTTTCAAAACAGAAGTGTCAAATGTCAGATACTTCTGACATACTAAGTTAATGAACAAAACAATGAACTTAATAGAAGCTACTTAGAGATAGACAGCCTTTAGAAACTTTGTTTTAATGACTTGCCATCCTTCATAGGATTTCCACATGTATCTTGCCTAAAGCATTACCCCAGAAACTACAAGCACAAATACAAACTTAAAAGAATCAAGTTAAGTGTAAGATGACAAGACCAGTGGGCAGTCAAGTATTCCTAGTCAACTTCAGTTCACTAGCCAGCTATTCAACCTGCATCTCGAACCAGACACACACAGTGAGCTTCAGGTAACATCATAGGATCTCTGCTTTGCTCTCTGAATCCCCCTTGGCCTTCCAGTTCTTTCAAAGCTGGAAATTTTTTCAGCAAGTAGACTTTTTTTTATTTATTTGCATCTGGTCTGAATACATACAGAGACACCATTTCTAGATGACTTCAATATGCTTTCTGCATTTTAAACACCATCTATTAAATACAGTTTTGATGACCTAACTTCCTGTTGAGAAGATCTTAGTATCTTCCACTTACAGAAATACTGGTACCCATAGTCAATCATAATCTACTTTCCACATATCCTTCTAAGTACATCGCCTCGTACAATTTTTCGAGACTCCCTGGTTTCTCATAGTTCTCAGAATGGGTCTGCAACTTTAGTTCTCATAAACAAGTGTTTACTGGGTAACTACCATGTGCCAGGTCTCGCCCACTCCCTGAGGACATAGCTATAACAACTGTCTTGCTTTCTTTTGTTTATGTTCTAGTGGGGATTTGCAACTCCTGAGAACTCATATTGAAGTGCTTGTCATGTTACATCCTAACTCCCTTCGTGTCCATTTCCCTTGATTTGAACTCTGCTGTCCTGTGTCCTCTGTCTCTTCATTTTTCAGCACCCCCATCTCATGCTGTGCTCAGTGGCTGGGACACATTGGGTACTCAGTGAATAACTTACATTGTTTATAATTTCCAAATGTAGACAATTTCTATTAAATATCCAATCTGCCTTCAAGGTATCTAACTCTTGTTAAATTTTAACAGTGAGTTATGTTCAATAAGTAAACCCCTTGGTTGGCAACAGGAATGACAAATACTAAGCTCCTTCTGAAGAGACGAAACCAAATGAACAAAACTGACCAGATGAACACCCTAACTTAACCTGTCACGCATCTTTCCTCAAACCCAAGGATGCCTAACCCTCTTTCTTTGAGTTTCCCAGGCATCTGAGTCTACTTGCACTCCGCCACTTCCTCTCTCCTCCCGGAAATCAAGAAAGAAGCTATAATGTGAAGTCACTCATGTTGTTCCCTTTCACTTTAACCTCAAAGGTAGAAACTGAAGACCAGGTCCTGGCAACTTTCTGTGGGAAGGAGACCACAGATACAGAGCAGACCCCAGGCCAGGAAGTGGTCCTCTCCCCTGGCTCCTTCATGTCCGTCACCTTCCGATCAGATTTCTCCAATGAGGAGCGATTCACAGGCTTTGATGCCCACTATATGGCTGTGGGTAAGTTGGGGACCTGGGCGATTCAACTCCTGGATTGCTTTTCTCTATAAAGATGAAAACAGCTTTGCACTATTTCCTGGAGAGAGAACATCTGTGTACCACATAGAAACCATTCATTTCTTACTGCCATGGATTTATCTATCTGAATTAGTCAGCTTTCCAGTTACCAGGATGCAATACTTGACAATCACAATTTAAAGGTATTAATTTCATTTGCGGTTGGGGGATTTAGTCCATGATCTGCTGGCTTCAAGGTAGAACCATCATGGCAAAAGGACATGAAAGAGTATTAGTTCATATCAGCTGGAAAACAGAGCAAGGGAATTGTACCAGAGCAGGAGAGATCAAGAGCCAGACATAGATACCAAGGCCAGCCTCCATTACCCGCCTAAACCTGTTCTCCATCACTCCCCCAGGGGGATCCCAAAAATCAATCAAATGGAAGCTCCACCCTCACTTCCACATCATCTGTCTATCATCAGTTCATTCATCAATCCATCTTTTTCAATTCATTCCAAGTGATTGTAGACATTGGTCCTCTATTTCTTAGATACTTCAGTATGTATAGATATTGTTAAGTTTTACAGAGTTTTTCTAAGTGTGGAATTTACATGAAATGAAATACACAAATTTTAAGTATCCATTTGTTGAATTTTAAAGATTTGGTATTTGCATATAATCCAAACCTTTATCAAGAAAATAATTTCAACCCAGAAATTTCCCCCATGCTCCTGCCCAGTTGATCCTTGCTTCTAGTTCCTTCAAAGCAAACAATTCTTCTATTTTAGCCATAGATTCCTATGCCTCTTCCGATACTTATAAATGAGCACATGGAAAATAGACATAGGGGATGAGGATTGTTTTACTCAATGAAATAATGCTCTTTATTTCATTGCATGTACTAATAATTATTCCTTTTCCTAGTAGAGTAACATTCCATAGTATGAATACAAGTCTTTATTCATTGTTCTACCGATGAGCAATTAGTTTCTACTCATTTTTGATGCTGATTAATAAAGTTTCTATGAAGCTTCTGATACCTCTTTTTATGAGCATATGGTCTCATTTCTTTTGGGTAAATATCTAGGAGTAGAATTAGATGGTCATGAAGTGATGCTGAGTAGTTTTACAGAAAAATTATCAGACCTTTCCCAAACCAATGACATCACTTTATACATGCCCACCAGTGCATGATGTGGTTGCTCCTTATATTAAATGTTGCCAGTTTTCAAAATGTTCCCCATGGTGATGAGTATGCAGAGGTAGTGCATTATGGTTTAAACTGCGTCCCTTGATGAGGGTGGTGTTTGGTGTACATATTTTCATGTGATGTTTGGTCTTAAGGAGACATGTGTATTCAGATATCTAGGATAGAACTTGATCCATGTTAGAGGGAAATAAAAAAAAGAAAGACAGAAAGGAAAGGAAGGATAGGATAGGTAAGGGAAGGGAAGGAAAAGGAAAGAGGAGAGGAGAGGAGAGGAGAGGAGAGGAGAGGAGAGGAGAGGAGAGGAGAGGAGAGGAGAGGAGAGGAACGGAACGGAACGGAACGGAACGGAACGGAAAGGAAAGGAAAGGAAAGGAAAGGAAAGGAAAGGAAAGGAAAGGAAAGGAAAGGGACATGGAGTAAGATGGCTCTGAAGCCAGCCCCCCTGGATTTTCTGTGTCTCTGTCTCACCATCTATAATGTGAGGATAGTAGCAGTTCTGCTTCCTGAGATTTTTGCCTGGCGCAGTAATTACCACCACTGTTAAGGAAGTTTTCCTACCATGAGTCAGGGGGCCTAGGCTGGAGCCTGGTGGACTGTGCTCTTGGGTGAGCCGCCTAACTACTCAGCGCTCTAGTTTCTTTGCTTGTGAAAGGAAGATGACGACCACCTCTGTGTGTTACATAAAGACAGAATGAGAGAAAGCATGCACCTCCTGAGAATGACTGGGCACCTCAACTAAGTGCTCTGTGCATGTTAGTTCTCATCTCCAGCATCATGCATGCTTTGACTGACTGAAGGTACCTGCTCTGCAGATGTGGATGAATGCAAGGAAAGGGAGGACGAGGAGCTGTCCTGTGACCACTACTGCCACAACTATATCGGTGGCTACTACTGCTCCTGCCGCTTTGGTTACATCCTTCACACAGACAACAGGACCTGTCGAGGTAAGGTTTGAGGATAATGTTGTACATGGCTATGCTATGTGACATCTTCCAATGAGGAGATCCGAAGACAGACAGACATAATAGGTACAACTAAAAATGAATTTGGAGATGCAGCTTAGATACCATATGCATAGAGATGCTGAGATGCTCACCCAACCTTGAAGCTTGGGCTTTGGTTCTCCAAACAGTGCATGAGAGAGGCTTTGACTACTAGGCTATCATTGCCTGTTTATTCCTGGGCAGTATTGCTGCTCCATAGATCTCTGAATCCTCTCCTACCGCAGGTTGTCAACCTCAGTTTGAGAGAAATCTGGGTTTCTGAGTCTTTTCTTTCTGAGCCATGAACTATGCCTCTCAGCAATTCCTTTTTGTTTCAATGGCCCCTAAATTCATCAGCAAAAGAGAGAACCTCATTCCAAAGGAAAAATGAGGGAGGTAAAGAGGATGCAGCAAAAAACTTCACATTCCTCCTATCATTCCTTGTTTTCACCTCCCATCACCGAGGCTCCTACACTATAGTCTTGGGCTGGGGCAGGGATACAGAAATGGAAGATGTATGAATCATCTTTACTCTTGATACGACATAGTATCTAACACCCACAACTGAAAGGAGGAAGGGTTTCATTTCACTCATGATTTTAGAGGCTTCAGTCCATGGTTGGTTGGTTCCAATATGAAAAACAACATGATAGAAGGGTATGAAGGAGCCAAGCTGCTCTGTTTATGGTGGCTCAGAAGCAAACTAGGGAGCAGCACCAGAGAAGAAAGGGGAAGAGACCAGATATAGCCAAAACCACAGCTCCATGACCCAACCAGACACACCTAAAAATGTGCTCCAGCAGTGCCCTATGCCAACCCCACAGCCAATCAAGTTGGCATTCCACCACCTTCTGCTGGCTCAACCAACAGAAGGGCTCAGGGGTAATAGCCACATAAACAAATTGTTAGATGCAACAAATGTGACCTTTACTACATTTATATAAAGGATATAGCACAATCAAACCTAAGCTGGCCTGGAGAAGTGAGCAAATGTTCTCTACAGATTATGTCCTTTGGCAGGGATGAAAGAATACGAGAAGGAGGGATTCCATCAAAGATAACAGCTTCCACAAACATTTCAAGATGTGACCAAGTTTGGGACATTTGGGAAACTCTTGGGAGCTTAGTATGATCCAGAGGAGGGACTGTGTTTGGAATCTCACTCAAAAGCTGAGTCAGTGATCACTGGAGAAAAGCAAGGGAAGGGACAGAGTTTTCTTTCCCTTTCAAGAAGTGCTGCTTGTTTCTGAATAAAGCCTATCCTACCTACCTATCAGTATAAAGCAGTATAAAGAGAAGAACATATAGGAGTATAGAAGGTTATGTTTTATAGCATTTTATTCAGTAAATATTAAGTACATACTCTAAGCTGAGTAAGGGCTGCAAAAACTGAAGGAAAGCAAGACTTCTCAATTCTCTTTTGCACCTGCCCCTAGAAACCTCTCTTTTATTTACATCACAAGTATGCTGCACATTATTTATGAATTATATGCCTACCTATGCATTGTACATAAGACTAAGACCTACCCTCTTGAGGACCCATTTTGGCCCATTTTGGGTTAAGGATTAGCCCTGTGAGAACAGGGTAGAAAACAAAAACAAACACAGAATCATGATGCCTTAGTCTAAACTTTCTGCAGCTTATAGCTTCAGAACTGCAGTGAGTTGTGACTCTCTCACTGGGCTACAGTTTTCTCATTTACAAATGAGCAGGATGAACAAAGACTCAGAAAGCATGAATATGTAGCACTTGCACGGGTTAGCCCAAGGGCAAAAGTTCAGTGGCAATAAAGGCTCCTCACATGGCTAAGTCATGGCCAGGCTCCCAGGACACTGGGTCCTTGGTGCCGTAAATAAAAAGGCAAACAAAGCTGGCCTCAGAGCATGCGGAGTCCAGAGGGAGCAAGGAAATCAACAAGTGAATGTGACATAGTGCTGGGTAGTAGTCTCACTGTGAAGAAAGGAAGGGCAGTTGGAGAGTGAGGACCCTGTATTAGATGGGAATCAAGGAAAGATCTGAGCAGAGACCTCAATGAATCTGGGCAAAAGGGAAAACAGGGATGAACAGAGCCAAAAATCTCCACATGGCCCTTCCACCTCAAAACTCTCCTTTCTGGGAATCCCTGCCTGCGCCCTCCAAGTGCCAAGGACTCTGATGAGAAAGGTTGTCCCAGGGGTAAACAGCTCTGTGTAGAGGCTTAAAAATTCTGCACTGGAATCTTGACTGCAGCTTACCTAGCATACACTTGGGTAACTCACTTCCCTTCATGCGGATTCAGTTTCCCATTTGTGAAGTAAGGATGCTGATTCTTTTCCTGCCTACCTTGTGGGGCCACAAGCAAAGGCACACAGTGAAAACAAGCAAGGGTTTGCTGGGCTATGGTCCAGCTGTGCCATCTTCCCCATGTGTTTCTCACAGTGGAGTGCAGTGACAACCTCTTTACCCAGAGGACCGGCCTGATCACCAGCCCCGACTACCCCAACCCTTATCCCAAGAGCTCTGAATGCTTCTATACCATTGAGCTGGAGGAAGGCTTCATGGTCAGCCTGCAGTTTGAGGACCTTTTTGACATTGAGGACCATCCTGAGGTGCCCTGCCCCTATGACTTCATCAAGGTGAGCTTGCAGTGGACACTTATCCTGGGGATGCTGGGAATTCTGGACTGAACCAGGAAAATTGACATCATGGGCTTTTCATGTTCTCCCAAGATTGGGATCCAAGCAGCTGCTCCCCCAGCCAAATACTTAAAATAACAGGTACCAGCTTAATCAGATTCAGTACGAGGATCTTTCTCAAATCAAAAACAACCCCCTGGCCACCATGGTGGTTTGCACTAGAGAGTCACAGGGTCAAATGTATGTTCTAGAAAGATTCCTTAGAGACAGGCTCAATTTGTAGGTGTGCAGCCTATGTGGTCACCTAGGACCCGGTACCCCAAAACAACCCACACTGTAATGTTCCACAGCTGCCCCCTTGTATTTCTGAATACAATTTGAACAAAGAGTCTCCACTTTTATTTTGCACTGGACCCAACAATTATGCATTTGGTCCTGCTTTGGAGAAGATGTTATGTACCAGGCAAATAAAGAAATGAAAAACTACCACAGACCAATAACTATTTAAATTGCAACTATTTCAGTAGCATGGGTGAAATACAAAGGCAGCCTGAAATCAAGTTGTGGCTGAGATAGCAGGAGACATATTTTTTAGATATGTAGGAAATAAAATCAGCAAGTGTTAGACAGTGACCAGCTGAGATAGCGAAGTGGAACTGAATATCAGGGTCTGATTGCAGGAGAGAAGGTAAGCCGGGGAAAAAAGCAGGTCCCATCACCTGCACAAATAGGTGCTGTGTGAACTGGGTGAATGCTCCTGAGAACTGCCCTGAGGAGGAAATAGTTGCAAGCTACAACACAATAAATTCAGAGAGATAAATAGAAGAGACCCATACAAATGAGGTCAGGAAAGGCCATAAAATGAGATATGCAAAAAGGAACTACCAGTAATGGGAGAAGCAGAGATAGCTAAGAAACTGTGATAGGAAACTCAAGAACTTAGAGCCCTACTGCCCTGAAATTAGATTCAGATGCTAAGAGGCAGCATGGCTATAGGTGAGATGGCAGAATAAATTAGGGCATAGGTTTTCATTGTGTGGTTAACTGCCACCAATGTTAACAGCTTACAATTCTCACTACACTGTTCTGCAGAGGAGAAATAAGAGTGGGCTCAACTGGGTTCTCTACTTTGGGTCCCATGCAATTGAAATCAAGGTGTCAGTGGGACAGGGCTCTTGCCTTGAGGATCTGTGGAAGAATTCACTTCTAGGTTTAAGTTGCTGGCAGAATTTGGATTCCTGCAATTGTAAGACTGAAGTACCATCTTCTTGCTGATTGCCAGCAACGGGGTCTCTCTCAGCATCTAGAGGCTGTTCTCAGGTCCTTCTGTGTCACTCTCTGAAAAATTTCTTTTTTTAGGGCATTGTTTAGTTAGGGTATAATATATTCATATTATATTATAATGTAGTCACAAAGTAACACCACGTATGACATCATAGGCATCTTCTAAAATTCTGGTTACCATGCATGGCATTCCAGAAGCTTCACATGGGAGACTCATTCAGGCACTTAACATTTGAGTGTTCACTTTTCCTCCCTCTGCATGATGAAAGAAAGATGTCACTCAGGATTATAGAAGTCACCAAATTCCAGTTAAGGAGACAGAATGAAAAGGGGTCATTCCTCAGAGACAGAATAAAAAATGGTCAAACATACCGGAAGGACCCAGGACAGGACTCTGGGAAGTCAGGGGACTCTGGGTCAGTTATTAACTTCTTCACTTCTACACTGCATCCATCCTAATCCAACTCTTACTGACTCTCCTGCTCAACTGTGAAACTTCCCAATGGTTCTCTTGCTTCTGACCTCACTCTACAATTGGTTTTCCCACAGCATTCAAAGTTATAATGATTCAGTCATGGTTGAACTTGAAATAAAACAACATAGCGTGGTCCTCACCTGCCTTTCCAAGCTCAGGTCATGCCACTGTCTCAGGCCCAGCCCCGCAGCTTCCTTCCTGCCAACTTCATTTCCACCTTTGCCCTTGACCTCTACTCACACTGCTTTCCTTGGCTGGAAAGTGCTTCTCCCGCTCTTCACACAACAGGCTTCTACTCTTCCTGACCCATCAGTGTCACCTCATTATAAGGTCCTACTTGACCACCTATTTGAGGTTGTTAGCTATTATTTAGTCTACTGTATAAATGATGGGTTCTATAGGTTGCATAGATTTTAGCAAATGAATTTTAAATATAGCATATATGTCTATAACAGGCTACCATTATTATGTGGGTCATTTATTGTTGATCTCCTCCATCCACACTGCAGATCCATAGAAAGCAGAGACTTTCTGGTTTGTGTGTGGTTCAAGGTGCTATCCCTCTCTGAGCCACAATTCATTCACCATTAAGCAGAAGATTATTAACTTGCCTAGTCCTCTGCCAGGGCCATTGTAAACTGTAAATAAGAGAGTAGAGATGAAGCTGTTTGGTGATTGGAAAGTCCTACTAAAACCACAAGTGAGTTCATGGATTCCCATCACATCTTCCAGAAAACCCCAGAGTGCAGTGTAGCAGGGATGCTGCTCTGTGGATCAGATGTAATTCTTCTCTTTGTCTATATTGCTTTCCTTAGATTAAAGCCGGCTCCAATGTATTTGGACCCTTCTGTGGGGAGAAGGCACCAGAACTCATCAGTACCCAGAGCCACAGTGTCCAGATCCTGTTCCACAGCGACAACTCGGGCGAGAACCGGGGCTGGAGGCTCTCGTACAGGGCTGCAGGTAACACCTGTCCTGCTGGGCCCTACTGAAACACCCTGCATGGTCCTCATCAGGAAGGAGGGCATAAGAGAGGGACCTACCAAGTCCCCAACAGAGGAACATGGCTGAATAACTTGGGACTAAGCCAGACTCCTGGCTGAATAACTTGGGACCAAGCCATATGCTCCCTCCTGATTTACTTTCCCTTTGATAAAAGGAGGTCAAGGGGAGCAGTGATGTTATTTCAGACTGGATCGGTAGTTTTCCAAACTGGCTATCCTTCAGCATTGCATGAGGAGAATAATAAGAGAAATCTTGTTTCCTGAACCCCACCCTCACACCCCCATATGATGGTTCATCACATCTTCAGAGGGGCTTCCAGCTCCAGCCTTCTCTAATTCTGGGACTGGACTTTGGGTATGACTCGTAGCTTGAATGTGTGATCCTGGTAGTTTGCCTCCCTGTAGGCCCCTAAACTGGTAAAGCACAAATCCCCACCTCTAATGTCCCAAAGCAGCCAGTCCTGCCCCAAGTTCTGATGGGACCATTGGACCCCACAAGCCCATGCATTCAAGGAAAAGAAGGGTGACTAGCAGCTCAGCATGACTGGTCGATTTCATAGACCCTGATGCTCTGTCTTCATTATCACATCTAGCACCCACTCTGGGGACATCAGTGGACAGAAAATTAACAAAAGAGAGTTTACCTAGGAAAAAGTATCAGGGGTAGGCCCAGACCTGGAGGAACTTGTCATAATTCACCTTGAAAGAGAGGACTCAGCAGGGTATGATGGCACCTCTAATGCTTTGAAGAACAGGTATGGGAAGAAAGGTTGATTGCAGTTGTCCTGGGCGGATAAAGCTTACAAGGGCACAAATTTCAGTTGTATAAAAAAACAATGTTCATTTAATTAGAGGAATCCATAGATGGAATGCACAGGTTTGGAAAGGAGTTAGCTCATGGTCCCTGTAGGAATGCAAATAGACACTGGAGTCAGTATGGAAGGTGTTGTAAAGAAAGCGTCAGACAAGGGTTGGATTTAATGAACTTCAGTGTTCCTCACAACCCTGAGTTTGAATGAAATCATTTGGCCAACCACCTCGGTTTGCCAATCAGCAAATGAAGGGGGGTTGGAAATTAACTTGCTCCTGGCTGCAAAGCATGTGTCTTTGGGGGCCTAGAAACCTCTCCAGTACCCAGTTATGTTACTTCCGCCTCATCAGGCCATGCTTTCTAGGGGCTTATACTTACTGCAGACTTTTCCTTGTTTTCTCACCTGCTGTCTATTTATTTGCTTCCCACCAGGCAACGAGTGCCCAGGGCTACGGCCTCCTGTCCACGGGAAAATCGAACCCTTGCAAACCACATACTCTTTCAAAGACCAAGTGCTCGTCAGCTGTGACACAGGCTACAAAGTGCTTAAGGTGAGCAGTAGCCAGGCTACAGAAACTCTCCAGAGCCTTCCAGAGCAGACGGGCTGCTGGGACTTGCCTTAGCGCTAGTGTGGTATTTCCTAGCCACCCTGTGAGCCTCCCAAATATTCTAGCATTTTAAAGCATATGTCCCAGATTTCTCTTACTCCTAGAACTGGCACCAAAGTCTTGTATCAGAGAATGAAATGGCTTGGCTTTTAAAATTTCCAGTCCATACAACTGTACAATCAGGGCTCAGAACTGTAACATAGTTCATCAGGCCTGTAAGAGCGGGGTGGGGTGCTAAAAAGGGAAGTCGAGCTTTTAAAGGTAGCAAACAGGCACTGCTTACTCTACCATCCTCTGAAATACTGGTTCTTCTCATTAAAAATAAAGCAAATATCTCCCAAGTCTCACTTCAGATCAACTAAAGAACTGGGACCAGGCAAGGCATGTTTTGTATGTTCTCCGGGTGAACATAAAGTACAATCAAGCTAGAGGACCACTGGTTTCTATGGTTCTCCAAGAAAGGCCCCTGGACTGCAGCCTCAGCATCACCTGGAAACTTGCAGGAAATGCAGATGCTTAGGTAGACTGACTCGCTGAATCAGAAATTCTGGGGCAGGGCCCAATAGTCCATCTTAAGAACCCCTCCAGGTGATGCTGACCGCTTGTTCGAGACCAGTGTTCTGAAAAAGGAATCAAGGCTAAGGCTTTCTCTTTCTGAACTATTGCCCCAGACTCGTGAGCACATGGACCTTGTGTCTTTTCAGAGTATAAAGTGGGACATGGAATTCATTGTCAACCTTACCCTTCTCCTCCAGCTTGCCCTTGGAAGTCCATGTGTGGAAAATCCCAGTTGAGTTCAGCCATATTTGGAGTATGAATTAGTTTTTCTGGAAAACAACCACTGACCCCACTCCCTTTTTCTTCTCCCTCCCTTCTTCTGGTTTATTCTCAGGATAATGTGATGATGGACACGTTTCAAATTGAGTGTCTGAAAGATGGAACATGGAGCAACAAGATACCCACCTGTCAAAGTAAGAAAAGCAAATGAATTCATTATTAGGTTAATGAATCCCCCTTTGCTGATGGAATGGAAGCAGAGACCAAGCCAAGACAAGAGCTTGGTGAGAGCTCTGTAAGAGGGACATGGGCGCGAATTCAAGAGGCCCATGAGAGTTGGCAGAAAGAACGCTAATTCCTCTCCCTGCAATTAGACATGGGATCCCAAAGCAAACTTTTGTGGGCCCAAGATTACTTTCTAAATATTAATTTTTACCTCAGTCTCCAGAAAAGTTGCCAAACTTGCTGAAGGAATAGCATTTTTGCCAGATTTGAAACGAGCTCTGACAGTTGCTCATTCAGGAAACCAGTTTGGCACTGGTGCCCAGAGCTGAGTCATCCTTTTGTCTATATAGCCATCCTCTATGTTCGCTGAGTCTTCAGGATAAGCTCATAATTTAGGGCTTAGTGGACATGGCTCTTGGGTCAGCACAGTGGCACTATAGGAAGCAGAGAAGATATAGCTACTTACTTGCTTTTGAGACCTAGAGTTTTTGCCTTGGCTCTGCCCCTAACTCCCTCACTAATCATGGACATGATCTTTTATCTCAACTGAAAACTAATTTGTACTAGCTTTAATATTCTAGAACATATGCCAGTGGTTCTAAAACAGTACAATCCATATACATCCTCTTACTGACCACTGTTCAAGTTACATCTATTAACTCTTCTCCATTCACACCCAAGTGGTTTCAATGCAAGACCGGAGTGGACTACAATTTTAGAAACTCACATGGGACAACACTGATGAAATGAGTGACAGAGTAAGTGAGAGAAGGAAAGAAGTGGGTGGGAACTGGCTTGAGAAAGGGAAGTCAAGAATTAAGTTTGGTCCTAATCACCTCTACTTCATGACTTTTCATGCAAACTTGGGTGTGCTGCCGTCTTTTCTTTCTCCCACATTGATCTTACCAGAGAGGATACTGGTAGACAGGAGGATTTCCTTGAAGCAAGTTCCAGGCAGAATTTGGAAATACAATATGCCTGTCTTTCTTTTTCATATGATAGTGTGGCTATAGTCAGAACCCAATGTGGGAAAAGAAAGATACTTTATGGCAAAGTTTCAACTATCATTTAGCGCATGCCTACACAGAGTTCTAGGAGAATTCAGGTGGGGAAGATAAGATCCAAGCAAGAGGAACTCCAATCCTACACAGCCCAGCTTAGCATGTGGCGCTATGCCTAGGCTAGGCACTCTGGGACGAAGCAAGAGTCATTATGAAGAAAGTGAAGGAAGATTTGAGATGTTTGGGGCAGGATTTGGTTCTAGAGCCATGAAGTTCCAGATTCAGAGGCAGATCCTTTGAGTTGAGTGTCCCCAAGGAACCCACTCAGATTCTTTTGACCTCAGTGTCTGATCTTAAGATTGTTCTGAGAACTAACCAGGTTAATTAATATATGTACCACACCTCTGGAGAGCCAAGAATAAATAAAGCTCAATAAAAGCTTATTTCTCTCTATACCTAGCCTAATCCACTCATTAGGAAAAGGATTTCCTAATGAAAGGGCAAAAGAGACTCATTTGCCCTTTAGGAGATTAGGGAATATTATTAATATTTTTCCCTGATGAGACACATACTTTTTCTTAAAAGGCAGCATTAACACATATCACTACCATAATCAGAAACACTATTTTTGTGACTTGTATTAGGAGGCAATAAAAAGTTCTCTGTTCTTTTAAGAAAATACAACCTTAAGGCTACAGTTCAATAGTGGACCACTTATGAAAGCCCTTTTTTCAATTCCCAACACTGAAAGGAAGAAAAGGGGGAAAAAAAGAAACAAAAACTGCTGTTATTGTTTGACTAATCATTTATGCCTAAGTCTTGTAACTTGAACAACTACTTCTAAGATAACAATATGCAATATATTAACTAATATTAATTTCCCAGTATTTTTTTGAATTTCTGCATCATTTCTTTCTTTTTTGTTTTGCTTTTTTAAAATAAAAAATAAATTAAAATAATGAGATATCAAAAAGAATAATAAGAAGAAAAGCAATAAAAATAACAAAAAGAAAAGAAAATATGACCCTACTCCTTCATGGTGGGCTGAGTCCCAGGAATTCTGGGAGAAGGCACTAAGAACAGATAAGAAAGGTTCAGTGTGTGATAAATATGTATGCACCCAATCAAGAAGTAGCAATTGTGCAAGTTTGCTTGGTGCCACATGCACCTTGATATAGAGACAAGTCCTCTTAGACTCTAAATGCTATCTGTCGGACGAGAACTTGGACCTGATAAATGCAAACTTCCCTACAAGGGAAAACTTCACAAGGCTCTCCTAAAGAGCCAAGGAGTGTAAGTGTGCAAATTCTAGAAAGGTACAAATTCAACTATCCCAAACTGTCCTTCATGCTGTCTGTCCCTAAACTGTGCATTCTTAATCAATTCCAATTGAGTGATTTCTGTATTTCCTGCATCAACTATTTCTGCTTTGCTTGCTAATTTTTCCCTTTCTCTCCTTTGTCTCTCTCTTTTCCTCTCTCTGATTCCTTCCTCTGTGTCTCCTGACTCCACTCTGACTCCACCATGGTGGCAGAAAGCGAGATTGATTTGGAGAGTGAACTCCAGGCAGAGCAAGTGACAGATGAATGATGGGAATCCCACACAGTGCAGACATCCAGGAATGGACCTTCTCAAAGACCCCGGGTCCCAGAGCTACTCCACCTCTCCCCACCCACCTGCACTCCATTGCCCATTTTGGTGTGGGTCAGCATGGATGCTGAACCAAACAATGCAACTCAGCAGTTGAAGCTGCCGAGTATCTGGGGTTCACTCAGCACTCAAACATTGCTTCAGAAAATAATGAAAAGACAATGGACAATGTTTAGACCCTCTCAATGGATCACACACTTCTCAAAGCAAGAATACCTTCAGTTAGAAATGCAAAATTTTCCATACAATCACACAGCCTTTGGCCAAGGAGATCAGCACGAGCCTTGGCTTCTAATCCATACCACATCTCATGTTCAAATGACCTAGATTGCTGATGAATTTTTGACTTTAAAATTCATATCTATTGCTACTTTCTTAACAACCATGAGTACAGGGGCCGGGGATTTAGCTCAGTGGTTCAAATGCTTTCCTGGTAGGCATGAGGTCATGAGTTCAATCCTGGTACAAAAACAAACAAACAAAAAACCAACCATGAGTCAGTAAAAAATGACCCACACAGTATGGATTTTGGGGAATCTGAATATTTCCTACTCATACTTCACCCAGGGCTGAAAGCCTACCATTGGAGGTTCTTTCCTCTGGGGTTTACAAGCTTTGTGTTTTTTAGACTTTGCTGACTAAAGACTTTGAAATGAGAGGCATCACCTGTGAGAGCAGTGGCTCAGCTCTGGCACGGTGGACATTACTGGGTTATGATTGCTGAAGGGCTGAGGAGCAGCAGCCTGCATGCCAGATGCTCTGTTCCAACACACATGAGGTCTGGACACGCATTTCAGAGGTTCCCTGCATTAGACTGTGACTCCCCAATGAGTAACTGACCACTTGGTGAGGGCAGGATACTGCCGGCACACTCAGTGACCAGTTTGGAGGCTGACGTGCCATGCTAGCATAGGAATACCACTGGCTGCTGATGCCCAGTGTCAGCTCAAAAAAATGGAGGTTTAACTGCTTGATTCATGCAGCATATTCCTTGCAATAGAGAGAACCATATTCCTTGCAATAGAGAGAACCATAACGAAATAAGGAGGTTTGATATCTGCCCAAATAATTGTAATACCAGGCAACATAAGACAGGTGCTATCAGAGGGACCTATATAAAGAGTTCTAGAACAAGGATGCTGCCTTGTCCAGTAAGAAGAATTAGAAATGATTTTCAGGAAGAAGTAGCATTTGATCAAAACCTGGGGAGAGAGGTTGGCCACATGGACATGGGGTGTCCCACGCAGAAATGATGGCATCGGCAAGAACAATAAGCAGAGGCAGCTGAGATGTGGGGACAGAAAAAGATGAGGCTGGAAAGGGGTACTGGGGTCTGATCTCTGGTTCTGAGAGACAATGACAGAGAATTAGCCCTCTATGAAGGCCTCAGATTGCAGTTGAGCATGCTCAGAGCTGCAGGCTAAGAAGGATAAATTGCAAGTGGTAACAGTGGAGGCACACTGAAGGATGATGAGCAGAGAAGGTCAAGGAAATGGGAAAGAACAAGCATTTTTGAGTCCAGCATATAGAAGTCGTCAGAGAAAGCTTTACAAAAAAAAAAAAAAAAGATGAGACCCTGCCTGAAGCGGGGGTAGGTGAGCTGAGGCACAGCAGTAGACATGTATTGATGGTGCCAGGTGTGCTCAGGGACCTAGCGAAGGAAGTGGCCTGCATGTCCCAGAAAGAAAAAGCTCTTTGCCAGCTGCTGTACCTATGGGAAAAGATGCACCCTTCCCCATTCACTGTAACTATATTGATATCACCCTCTGTTTTCCAGTGCTTACCAACCCCTTTATCTGGTCATAGAACTAGCTCTGGCAGTGAATAGAATCACTTCTCTGGAGCCTTGCAAAATCATGCCCTCGATCAGGAAAATATCTCTCCACCAGCCCCAGCCACACAAGTCCAAGGCTGGCCCTGGAATTCATCCACTAGGAACCAAGCAGTTAAATCTCCAGGATACTTTAGACCAAAGGAACTGCTACAAAATACTAAGGGAGACAAGAGTGATATGAGTATCTAGGAATTGGACAGTGGCATTTCCTAAAGAAGAAGTAAAGTCTGCCTTGAGACTCAGCAGAAAAATAAATTTAAAATTGTTTATAGTTCCAGATAATAAATATTATTATTACATTTTATTATTCTGATATTAACCTTTACACATTTACTTCACAAACTAGAAAGGTATCTTCACTTTTGGGTGATTAAACAAATGAAAATGATTTGTCCAGAGAGGTTAGAGGCCAGGGGAAAAATACCCATTTGTTTTTTAGTTTGTTTGTATATATTTCGGATTTTGCTTTCCTTGAAGATAAGTAGTACCTACATTTACTCCCTTCCTTTATCCCCTTCTTCTAACATACAGAATCTTGAAGTCCTACATATTTGAGTTAAATGACTCTCTAAAGATGAAAAAGATGACTTAGAAATCCTAAAGTTAAGAACACAGTGTTTACTTTACATATAGGAGTAAATTGTCCCTTTGTTTCCTAAAGAAGTCAAGAGGAGGTAAAACTTTAGAAATTCCACCAAGACTCAGGAAATATTGAGACTTAAAGTCCACCAGGAAGCTAGCTAACATCTAATATAGGCCATTGAGCAGGAAAACAGAAACCATTGAGCAGGAAAACTTAGAAACTATCGGTACCATTTATTAAAAAGGCACTGAATTCAAGATCAGATCTAGTGCTTAACTCAATGGTGACATTAGATGAACCAAGTCTCCTCTCTGAGTTTGTCTGAAAAATAAAGAGAATCTTCTAGGTTGCCTACCCAGGGTCCCTTTCCATTGTGAAATTCCACAGCTCCCCTCTGATCCTTCAACTCTGCCTTAGGCTGTTAATACCTAAGACCAGGGTTGTTTTAGAAGTAAGCAAGCATCATTTCTCCCTCCTAAAGGAGGCTCCTGAAAAGACGTTTATAAATCGGGCCTTCAGCCTCTAATACGGCATGACAAGGTGGCCTGAATCTGGGCTGACGCTTGCTGAACTCCACCAGTGCTGCTGATCCCCTGAGAGCTGACTAAACTTGCCAGCTCCCCAAACCCATGGCGGAGGAGCAAGCATCTTTGGTTACATGCTGTAGTGTGTGAGTACAACCAATTCCAACATCCAGCCACCAATAATTTGAGATAGTGAGGAGATAAAGTCTAAGAGTTGGTCCACCCTCACCTTCTCCTACCCTCTGTGGCTGAGCCAGCAGGCTGTGGCTGTGTACTCTCATGCCAGAGAAAGATGTTTTTTTGTCTGGTTGGTTATTGTGTGTGTGTGTATGTGTGTGTACTAAGCTCCAATGTGAGCACTTTAACTGCTCTTATATAGCCTGTGGTTGGGACTAAAAGAATGGAAGATTTTTTTGGTTCATGTCACCCGGAATTTTCTTTCTGAGTCATGGGTTTCAAACTTGGGCAAAAGAAGCAGAGGCAATTTCATAATAAGACGGAAGCAGAGGAGAGGAGATGGAGGTCTCCTTCAATCTTGGAAGACCTGTCCCTGCCCTTAAAGTGACCTCATGCCCAGGTGAGTTGATCATATAGTAGTATCATAACGGGGAAAAAAACTTGTAGCAGGTCCACAAGTGGCTGTACAAGTTGCACACTGTACAACCCCATGAACACCAACCAGATTTACCACCATAGTAAGGCTGCTCTATGAGGACTCTAGAAGTATATTCAGTTACCATAAGTTTTCCCAGGACTCTGGATGCAGTGATAACCAAAGTGCAGTACATAACCTGCGCATCTGCAAAAGAGATCCATCAGATGGCATTAAGCTAACAAGCAAAAGACAATTAAGGGGTCTCACTTCTCTCTCAGTTGTAGACTGCGGAGCCCCAACAGAGCTGGAACATGGGTTGGTTACCTTCTCCTCGATGAACAACCTTACCACTTACAAATCTGAAATCAGATTCTCCTGCCAGCATCCCTATTACAAGATGCTTCACAATATCACAGGTAAGCCCTCCATCCTGCTCCTCCTCATGTCTGCTGGGTCTGGGAGTTAGACTGCGAACTGAAACAGCTCTTTTAGGAACAGCTGCTCGTAAGTCTGTGGGCCCTTGCACAAAGTGTGTTCACACCTATCATCTCATGTCATTTTCCATGAGCTGATGTTAACAATTCGTTTAGAGATGTAAACACTGAATCTCAGGACCGAAACCCGGGCTGGTTTCTTTTTAATTTTAAATCTCACACTGATTCTACTGATGAGTCTAGAGCTGGTTGGTGAAGCATGACCTAACTAAGAGAAGAAATAGGAATTTAAGCCTAAGTTCTACCAAAGTAAACCCATTCATATAGGGGGAGGCCGAGCTGGGGTTTCCAGGAAATGACCAGTGTTGCTATTTTAGTCAGTCTCTGCCTCATCTGCTGGCCAAGTGTAATGTCTATCCCGGTCAGTGCCATTTGGCAGGCCTCAAAAGAGCCCTTCAAAGACCTGTTCCTCCGGTAGGCACAGGGTCCAGATGGAACTTGGGAATGAGGTGCAGATCTGTCTCTTGCCAGGTGGCTCAGTAGATCACCTGACCAACGCCTAAGCACAGCTATAGCTGTCCTCATCTAGACCTTATCCACACCATTGAGCAGGGAGACCCAAGATGCCCCAGCATTGGGCAGAAGCACAGTGGGCCAAAGGGTGAAGGGCCACCATTATTACAAGACTATTGGCTGCAGCAAAGATTTGGAGGAACTGGGAGAACTACTTGGAGACAGGCCCCCACCTCTTCCAAGAGTGAGACTTTGTGACACCCCACACTTCCACCCATTCAGTCCCTCGCAGAAAAGAAAGCCTCAGAGAGATGGAAAAGCCCCCTCCACTCTGCCTCTGGGGTGTACAAGCACTAGAAAGTGTCTTCTAGCTTCTCTATTCTTCAAATCCCCACTTTCCATGAGGAAATGGTGATAGAGATCACAGAGGTATTGTGAGATTCCATAGGACAAGAGACATACACGTGGCTTGTTAAAGAGTTTAAATGAAAATTGAGGACAGGATACCTGCGCAGCGGAGAGCTGATGAAACAAGGTCTCTGTGACTAACAGCAAGAGGCACCTGCGGGGTGGGGGAGGCACTAGGTGGGGTGGGGAGCAGCCGTCACACAGCCAGGAGTGAGACAGCACAGACCTTTGCTGAAGAGGGAGGTGTTCATTTGTGAAGACTGTGAGAATTCACCAGTGATTCTGAGCTAAAGAGGGACACAGTCCGGTTCCCATTTCAGAAATACCCTTCAGCTTGCAGAGAGAACCGGCTCATAAAAAATAGTATGAGAGACCATTTGGAAGACTTTTTCAAAGTGAGATGATCTGACAAGAGAATCTTAGATCCCAGCTCTGCTCTCTGTGTACTACAGGTCAATCATTTACTTTCCTTCCTCCTACCATTTTTCACTCATCCAGGAATATACACCTGCTCTGCCCAAGGGATCTGGATGAATGAAGTGCTGGGGAGAAGCCTGCCTATCTGCCTTCCAGGTACCTTACCCTCCAAATCCTCAGAGCCCCATCCAAGGCCCCAGGGCCCCAGGTCTGCCTGCTGGCTGTGGACGGAGTTGAGAGGGAAGTGCTTGAACTGTTTTTAAAAAGATACCTTGGGCAGGTAAAAGGCCAGGGAGATCCAGCCTCAGGCCTCAAACTAACCATTGTCCACACTCAGCCTGTTCTGGTCCTCCAGGAGCCCTTCTTCTTTGTCTAGCTCCACTCCCTTCCCCCTAGACTTTTCATCTAACATCAAGAAAATGGTGCCCTGCCCTTGGGTACCTACTGGTGTATCATGTGGATGACCACATGAGACAAAGAAGGAACAATGTAGGACACAGAAACAAATTCTTCCACAGAAGCCTTTGCACAAATTATTTTGATTGCCGCCTTCTTCATGCTTATCTACCATCTGACTTTCGAGACATTTGTGGTAATAGGGATGATCACTGTGCACATATATTTGGGGGAAATTTGCTTTAGAATTAAATGTATGGACACCTTGTATTGAAAGTACAATACATATACATTTAAATCAAACTTTCAAATTTTAGCCCAAAGCATAGACTGTAGAGTTACATAAATATCTCATTAAAATAAATTTAATATTCATAGTAACTTGCACATTTTGAAATCAAAACATTAATAACAGCAGAACATACATGAGACAATCATTAAAGATGACACTGAAGAACACTGAAAAGTAATTGTCCTTCCTGATTTCATATGAATGCTTGAACCTTGCATTATGGTGAAGCATTGGGTGGCTTTGTCTCTTTCTAAATAAAATATCAGGTAAGCTGAGAAACATATTAGGTGAATGGCACATTTTAGTAACTTTCACTCTAGAAATAAGGCTAGACATCACAAAGAAAGACTGATCCTTTGATCAGTACCAAAGTACCATTGATCCTTAAAAAGTGAAGAAAATTCTAGCATCGAAGGTCAGTTCTCCAACCTCACAAATGCAAAGGGATCCTGGAGGAGGAAATAGCTGCACACAGTGGTTCAGGAGTAGGGGAAAGAGCAACAGGAAAGAAGACTTCACCTTAGAAAGAACTTGTGTCATCTCACCTGCACTCTGCTGGTCCCACTCACTTCAAGTTGGCTTGGCCATGAGTATGCGCAAGGATACCAGGACACGAAGCCTCAAGGAAGAGAGGAATGGCTTGGTTGTGGCAAACTAGAGGTTCGATTTTGCTAAAATATTATGTGGTATAAAGAAAACCAGGGGTCATTCCATTCTGGGATGTCATGTGGCAACCTCTGAAAGGGGAAAATACACTGTGATCATTACTAAGTGATTTACCTCTGTGGGGCAGGGATTTCTTGCCTCAGAAGTCATCAGGAGATCCGTGGCATTCTAGAACTTTTGGTATTCATCACCCTCTGTGTTTGTATGAGGCATCTTAGATACAGTGAGTCATGAAATTCTTTGAAGACTCAGTGTTGGGCAAAACTGTGGTGTGTCATTGGACCAAGATAGAAGTTTCCAAATCCTTTCCTCCTAAAAGATCGGGATGGAACCAGGATGCTAATCAGGATGGAGAAAGCCATTAATCCAGCACTAAATGCCCATATTTTCAGGAGGACTGCTAAGCAAATATCTGCTTCAGTTATTTTACAGATGTGAAAACTGAGGATAATAGTGTCGTGATTTGTACACAGCACAGTCAGAGAGTTCATGGCAGAGCTGGGATATGAACCCAAGACTTTTGATGTCAACCCAAGGAAACCTGAATCTTCTTACACTCTGGTCATACTGTATGCCACCCTCGTGCACTCAGAATCCTACAGGTTCACATTTTTGCTTTTTGGCACTTCCCTCAGTCACCACTGTCTTTTAGAAAATAAGTCTGGCTCCAACATTGCCATAACATTTCAAAAATATTCATTTGTCCCAGGGAAAGCCTGAAAGGAGAATGGTGGCAGCTAATAAAAATGGCCCCCTTTCAGATGGATACAATGGAGTATACCTACTCAAAATCAAGGGAAGAAAGAAAAAATGACTCCCGTTTCAGGGAGCTCTCCTAAAGATATACTATATCATTCAGACTCCAGAAAAGACAAGAAGACTTTTGGGTAGGAAAATGAAGCAAGGGTCAATAGAATCAATTTCTTTCTCTGGCACTAATAACTTTGAGTAGGTCACTGGCCATCTCTAATTCCACTTCGTTTCTGTAACTTAGTGATTCTCTGAGCTTCCTCTAACTCTAAGCCCCTGTGACCTGGAGTGTACCACTAGCACCTGAAGGGAGGGAGGTACATTCAGTCCTGACCATGGACTTTGCCGTGACCATGGACTGAACTATCAACACATCCCTTACCAGATTAAGGTCTTTCCGTGTAAAATGAGCTGAAGACGAGTCACAGACAGCTTTGGGATGTCCTTCTGAAAGCTACTGGTGAAGTGGGAGACTAACTCTTAACTTTGAAAGGTCAAGCCACAGAAAGTTACAAAAGCCCATCCACATGTGGTCTGGGGTGAATGACAGGGTACCCTGGGATCACGCAAGAAGTATTTGGCACCAGCAGCAAGAGCAGCCGAAAAGAATTAAGTTTTGAAACCCTGCCTCCCAAAGTTGCCAAGAAAACTCAAATGCTCCTTGGTCTCTGAAGGGCTGTGGAAAGTCTCCAGAACCAGAGTGTGTCATACCTAATGGCAAAATGAGGGAGCCCACACTCACACCACACTTCCCTCCCAGGCTCAAGCGCCTTGCCTGGGAAAGGTCTGTGCCAACTTGTTCTTAGCCAGCAGGGGGCAGGTAAGGAAGACCCTCTGCCATGGGCCAGAGGCATTTATTTGTCTGCAGGAGGCTGGTGGTGCTTGTGCATGCTCGGGGTGCAGCTCAGTGGAACGAAGTTGCTCAGACCCTTCTTCTTCCCTTCAAGGTACTACAGGGCTCCTGGGTGCAATGATGGGTGGTCCTGAGCAGGGCCCATGCATCATTGCTTGTGGATTATGCCACCTTCTCCCAACCTTCTATGTCCTGGACCTCTTAATCCATAGGCACCAAAGTCTTTTAGGCCAGAAAAGGAAGGATTTGATGGTCCATGGCCATCGTCTAAATCTGTAACAAGGCAATGTGGAATACAGGACAAGGCATGTCTTAGAATCCTGCAAGGACCTTGCTACTCAGCTTGACAACTGTGTCACCTTAAACAGGTCTCTTAAGCTCTGGAGAGTGTTTTAATGTCACTAGGAGTAACCAAAGCAAATTAAATAAAAATCAAAGAAATTTGAAATCTGAAGAATCCTTGGAGATTATCTTGACCAACTGCTTCCTTTGACAAGTCAAAAATTGAAATCCAAAAAGGAAAAGTCCTGACTCAGAGTCACATGGGTGATAGAAAAGCTTGCCAAAGCCCCAAGTGTCTTGTTACAGCCCATTGTATCCTGCAACCTGTGACACCGTTTCTTAATTTCTTTCCATCTCTCTGTGCCAGTGACATGGGGAGAAGAGTTCTCTGGGTGTCCAATCATGGAGGTCTTCTGAGACAGGAGATCTCTTCCTAGGGGAAAAAGCAGACATGTGGCCATTGCTAAGAGGGGACCTGGCAAAGGAAAGTCCTGGCTCAAAGTGTTCTTAGCCAAAAGTGCTTCAGGATGGAGAAGGCCTAAGCATGAAATGATCTAGTCCAGAGATGGCGCCAGCTCCAATGGGACATGAGCCATCCTGGAGGGAGTAAGACCCAAAGTAACCCAGGGCAGAGCTCCCCAGGGTAGCTGATTCAGTCAAGTAAGGGCCCTGTGGTGGCATAATCGACAGTGAGTGACATGTGAATTTCTCTTAGTGTCTTCTTTCATGTGCCTGCCGTAATCAGTCTCTGTCTCTTGTCCCCAATCTCTCTCTCTTCTCACAGTGTGTGGTCAGCCCTCCCGGTCTCTGCCAAACCTGGTCAAGAGGATTATTGGAGGCCGGAATGCAGAGCCAGGCCTCTTTCCGTGGCAGGCCCTGATAGTGGTAGAAGACACCTCGAGAGTGCCAAACAACAAGTGGTTTGGGAGTGGAGCTCTGCTCTCTGAGTCCTGGATCCTCACAGCAGCTCATGTGCTACGGTCCCAGCGCAGGGGTAACACGGTGGTCCCGGTCTCCAAGGAGCACATCACTGTCTACCTGGGCCTGCACGACGTACGGGACAAATCAGGTGCTGTCAATAGCTCAGCTGCCCGAGTGGTTCTCCACCCCAATTTCAACATCCAGAGCTACAACCATGACATAGCTCTGGTGCAGCTGCAGGAGCCGGTGCCCCTGGGACCACACGTCATGCCTGTCTGCCTGCCGCAGCCAGAGCCTGAAGGTCTAGCCCCCCACATGTTGGGCCTGGTGGCCGGCTGGGGCATCTCCAGTCCCAATGTGACAGTAGATGACATCATCAGCAGCGGCACACGAACCTTGTCAGATATCCTGCAGTATGTCAAGTTACCAGTGGTGCCACACGCCGAGTGCAAAGCCAGCTATGAGTCTCGTTCGGGAAACTACAGTGTCACAGAGAACATGTTCTGTGCTGGCTACTACGAGGGTGGCAAGGACACATGCCTTGGAGATAGTGGTGGGGCCTTTGTCATCCTTGATGACTTGAGCCAGCATTGGGTGGCCCAAGGCCTGGTCTCTTGGGCGGGCCCTGAAGAATGTGGCACCAAGCAGGTGTATGGAGTGTACACGAAGGTCTCTAACTATGTAGACTGGTTGTGGGAGCAGATGCGCTCCCCACAAAGTGAAGGGGAACTCCAGGTGGAGCGGTGAGCTGACTTTTTTCCTTGGGGCCTGCTTACCTTGCCCCCACCAAGTGAGGCTGTATACACACATCCAAAAGCACACTCCATGTTACTTGGCAGACCAAATAAAGTGGGACACACTGACCTGTTGGGGCACTTGTCCTCCCAGGACAGCCTCCAGAGCTCTGAGAGGAAGCAAGTGGTAAAAGGAAAAAATTCTGGGCAAGAGATCTGGGTCTGTGACCTTAGCCAAGTCCCCTCTCCTCTCTGGGCTCAC